ATATATATATATATATATATATATATATATATATATATATATATATATATATATATATATAAAATATATATAATATATATATAATAAAATTAAAAATATATATATAACTAAAACTTATGCAATCTGCACTCCGAAATAAAAGACTACCTACCACCTGGTGTTTCAAAGAGAAAATTTATTGATATAAACTTTTTTAAAGATCATTTAAGCGAGGTTCAAAGAACAGACCTCAGCTTTCAGTTGGCCAATGGCGTGGTCTATTTAAGTTCCTCTAAATGAGCCAACAATGCACTTTAACACACCTCCTTTCTAGACCAGCACACCCATGAATCCACAAAGTGGTGGAAATAGATTTGCTATTTAACAAAGAAAATTACTGTTGCGCTGGTCTGAAAATAGCATCAAATAACGCCAAACACATCTTGAGCCTTATTGCGCCGGCTGTATGATAGTTCCCATTATTATTATTTTTTTTATTTTTTTTGTGTGAATATAGCCAATTAGTTTCGTTGCATTTAAACAAAGCAGTTTTATTAAGCAATTGTGTGGATTAAAATAAGAGTTTGGTCATCGGACATCTTTAGAAACAGAAAGATAATACATTTGAAATTCAAACAAAAAACAATTACAAACTTCAAAATGTCAACTAAATTTAATATTTGTTTCACGTTTTGCTTGATTTTTCTCTGTTTACTAATATTATTCATCAATAATTGTAGGTGTGCTAATTATTTTACTCATCTTGAGTTTGTCTTGTTCGATTAGTTCCAGTTTTGGCTTTGCCACTGACTGTATGACAATGTATATAGACAAACATATTATTGTAAGGCATCTTATAGAAAATATTAATTTAAAAAGGAGATCTGTAAGGGGTGTATACTCATTTATGCTGGCTACTATGGTTAATATAAAGAAATATATATATTGTTTTGTTTTATTTATTTGAATGAAAAACCATATAAATTAATTTCAATTTACCTATTTAAAATCATTTCTAAAATTAGCGATGCATTTCATAATTATTAATGCATTTTTATTTTACTTTTCACAAAGGTAAATCAAGCACCATGTTATTATGGTGAGGTAAATTGGTGTAAACTAACCTGATTGTTCACACCATTTGGTCAAGGCATGCGGTAAGCTTAGTCAAGTCCTAATTAGCCATAACTACTCCATTTTGGGGGCATTAATTAAAAAGTCACTTATTAGTCACTTAGAAAGGTTTTTTTTTTTTGGTAATATTTTTTTTCACCAGTTTTTTTTTTTATTTATTTATTTATTTTTGTCAGCTTAGAATAGATAAACTGGATTTTTTCCTAACACAATCTTACAGCAATTCATAGTCATTTTAAGTTTTGCTGAATTGTTGGCTAACTTGTACGATGCCTTTCATTCTTTCTGCTATAATCTGCCTACATGCCCTGCTGAGGGGTGGAGCTTCACAATGTTTTTCGGAAAAATTGTCATACAAAATAATTCATACAGAATTTCTGTGTAAAATAGCTACGTTTTTCCTAAGATGTCATTTAAAAAGCAGCACTGTTGCGAGTCGAGAGCCACATGGCGTTTACAGCTCAAATGATTGGTTCAGACTGAATTCTGTTTGACCCAGTCAGCTGCGATGTAAACGTAGCCGTAAAGTAGGGTTGCCAGGTTTTCATAACAAAGCGAGCCTAATACTATCAAAACACCGCCCATTTAAAAATATCTATTTTACTTCACTACATGATTCATACATGATTTGTTCTGTACGGATAACTGTGCCGTGGCTAAATATATTGTGGCTGAAGTGCCAAACTGACATCATCAGAGAAGCCCCGGCCCTCCAAACTCCAAACATGGAAGCAGACTTTAAATAGTTGATTACCAAAACATTTTTTTTTTGCATGAGTTCATTGTTCTATTTAACATGTAAACCTTGAAAATTTAGGTTCACACACATTTTAAAGGTGCTGTATGTAAGTTATTGACTCTCCTAAAGCATAAAAACAATAATATGTTTGCAGATATTTCAGAAACATGCTCAGTGAACATTCTTGTTTTTCTGAAAAACAATGCTGAAGTCAGATATTCTGCTTTGAAAATGTGTCTTTGTTTTAGTTCTTTTAACCCGCCCACTGCCGGTTCAGCCAATTATATTTCAGCACCCGGGTTGCCTTTGTAGATAACAGTGTATTTCTTTCATTCAGTCTGGAAGGCTCTAAAAGTAGGTGTCCGTGACCTAAATGCGACCTCCGCTGGACAGTAGCAGCCTCCGAAATGAGATGCAGATTCAGAGTTCCACATGAGGTGGTTGTTAATTAGCGAATAATATAAAATTAGGCACGTAAACATTAGGTGAGCAGTTTACATTGTAACTTCATGTCTTAACAACATGCTACGTGATGAGATTTTCAGTGATAAGCAATTTGGCTGTTTGCACCAAATGAAACGCCACAAAAATTTAAATACAGCCATTCAAAAGCACAGAATAGTGCACTCACTGCACTTCGTATTGTTTATAATCCAAATAATACATATTAAACCTATTTAACATTATTAAATGTTGATGCTGAATCACTGATATGTGTCGGGTTTACACTGAGTCACAGTTCTAAAGATCAGTTCTGAAGTTTCAAGATCTGAGGTGAACTATCTGCTGCTGCTTTCAGTAGTATGGCAATACATGTCATGTAAAATGACATTCAAACTCACATTATTAGCATTTAACACTGAATAAAGTACATAAGTCAAACTTACACACTGCACCTTTAAACCTGTAGAATAAAAACAAAACGTGACAAGTGTTCAAATGTGACTCGATTCAGACTTGGCAACCCTGCCACAAAAGCCATTCATTTAACCCATCTGTAAACACACACATACAGTTGAAGACAGAGGTATTCGCCCTCCTGTGAATTTTTGAATTCTTTATCAAATATTTCCGAAATGATGTTTAACAGAGCATGGATTTTTTTCACAGTATTTCCTATAATATTTTTTTCTTATGGAGAAAGTCTGATTTGATTTATTTCGGCTAGAGTGAAAGCAGTTCTTAATTTTTTAATAACCAATTTAGGTCAAAATTATTAACCCAATTATGAACCAATTTAGGTCAAAATTATTATAATTATTAAAAAAATTTTATTAAAATAAAAATTATTATCTTTATTGCCTAACTTGCCTAATTAACCTAGTTAAGCCTTTAAATGTCACTTTAAGCTGCATAGAAGTGTCTTGACAAATATTATGTACTGTCATATTGGCAAAGGTAAAAGAAATCAGCTATTAGAGATGAGTTATTAAATCTATTATGATTAAATGTCTTCTTTCTGTTAAACAGAACTTGGGAAAAATTTACAGAGTGGCTAATAATTCTGACTTCAACTGTATATACACAACAAACACACACACACATCCACACACACAAATACTATCAGGTGGACAAATGGTATATTATACAACATTTTTTATGCTGTGTATCAGTTTATAATGAACTGTCCTCCAATGCATCTCAAAGGACGTCATCAGGTAATTGGCAGCTCGATTATTCTGCCGATTTAAAGACGAGCGCCTCTTAATGATGCTGCCGATTTATTGGAATAGGATCGTGGGTTCATTATGTTCGATGAGATAAATGAATGACTATAATGACCAGGAATAATCAGCTGCATTTAATAATCCAAGCCCGTGTCTATCTAATTAGCTAAACACTCATTTGTAAACA